GTCAAGGTTTTGCTCACTATTTTCTTCGATTACCGTGGCATAGTGCATTAGGAGTTCTTGCCACATGGTCCTACTATCAATAAGGAGTATTATCTTGAAGTTATGCGCCGCTTGCGAGAGGCAATACAAAGAAAACTTCAGGTATTTTGGAAAACAACTTAAGCTCGTAGTTTTTCGGCCCAAAACAACACAGTTATCTTGCCTCAGCCACTATATCCACCAGATTTGCCCCTTTGCGACTTTTTCCTGTCACCAAAATTGAAAAAACCTATGAAAGGACGGCGTTTTTGCGACGATTGAGGAGATTGAAACTGAATCGCTGAGAGAGTTTGAAGACATACCAAAAAGTGCATTTTGGAACTGCTTTGAGGATTGACACAGGTGTATTATATCTGAGGGGGACTACTTTGTAGGGAACAAAATAGAAATTGATCGATAACTACATATTTTTTGATAAAAATAAAAACCACCTCGTATATCCTATCTATTAAAAACACTGTCATCACACCAGAACAAAATACTAATGCTCAACACGCATTTCGCTAATTGAGGAGATAACTAGACCCTCATCAGTAGATCACCAGACTAATCATTCCCTGATGATGGTATTGATGAAATTATTGTGTTCAATAGGTGTTAAAAAATTCAGTGTATGCCAGAGGTTCCAGTTCTAACTATTAAACTACATACCTACGTTCAATAATATAAACATTTTTGTCAAACCATTTGATGATAATGAGAAGAGTTTCATTTTCTATAATGTACTCGTAAAAAAATTCAACACTTCATATACAAGCTCAAAAAATCAAATCTCACCTTTAACCTTTTTCTCAAGAATATTTTTGCACTTTCCTATCAGTATCTTATTTTTGCAGTCACATTTCTTTGGACAAGGTTTCTCCTTTCCAAATAGATTCCTCCAAAAATTTCCACATTTTGTATATTTTTGTTTGAGGCATATACAGCTGTCTTCTTTGTTGGTCGGCACGTCACTTTTTTCCGATACACTTTCTACAGCTACTGGCTTTTCATATTTCACTTCATTTTCCAATATTCCGTTGTTCACAGCAAACAAAGATAACTCGGAAAATTTGGCAATATGCTTCTCATCAGTTTCATTAGTATCAGTAACGGCATCTAGTTTTTCTGGTTCATTCAGTTTATTTACAGTGGATTGGTTAATCGCATCCTTGAGCTGCCTGAAAAAAAGTTTTGAATATATTCTGGATTGTTGTAATCAAAGTGCAGTGTTTGGGCTTTGTAACAGTTCATTCAGGCCCTTCAGTCCTTTTTTTTATTTATTTATTCGTTTCAAGAAACAACAATGGTTCGCACAGAAAATTATTTATACAAGAAATATTGATACATAACTTCAAAGGGAGCTGTTTCAAAATTGGTCTAATTAATAACAAAAAACTGAACAAATATGATTATGTAAATCAATAAAACAAATAGTTCTTTATTTTAAAGGGGTTGACAATGTTTCATGGTGGAGAATAGAGAAGGAAGTCTACAAAGAATTGCCATTATTAGACGTATTGGTGAAGAGGACCAACACTAAGTGGGAAAGATCTGTTTACCGAAAACCCACTCATATGTGACAGTATCTAAATCACGAATCCAAACATCATCAATCTACCAAAAGAGGAATCGTCTCTAGTGGATTGTGCGCTTGGTCTCTGTAATTCGAAGGATGGTCTCGAGAAGGAACTAGGCATCATCAAAAAAGATCTTCAAGGAAATGTTTACTTCAAAGTAGAACAGACTTTGGCTAGAAGACAGCAAGAGCCCTACAAGGAAGAGAAGCCGTCACAACCAGTACTTGTCCTTTTACACGTCAGATGATTGTCGGAAAGGATAAGAAGAATTGGATTCAAGTACATCAGAACCTTCTTCAGATCCGGAACCACCATCCGTAACAGCCCCACGAAAACCAAGCCACCAAACGCGGACTGCGATTCTAAGAACTGTATTTACCGGATGCACCGTGAAACTAAGATGCCCTTGAAAGTCCGCATTGCCAAGCACAAGANATACGAATTGTTCTTTTAATAACTGTGTGTTCAATAAATAATTTTGTTCGAATTGCAAAAAATTTTCTCACCGAATATCCCTCGAACATTGATAAATAACTCATAATTTTATCACAACTTCCTCAAGCACGTTATTTTAGGTAACATCCCTCCGCCTTCGGCGTCGGGATGTTACCAAATAACGTGCTTTCGAAAACTGTGATAAAATTATTTCGTTAGTTATCAATGTCCTTGGGATATTATAGCTGAAAATCGAACAGTGTATAGATTACACGAGTATTGATATGTAAAAATTTCAAAAACTTCACTTGGGTGGAGAAGTTTTGAATTGAAAAAAAAATGCGTTGTACATTGGTTTGGTAGCTACCCGTTTCAGGATGGTCAACTTGTTTTGAAATAATGTTGGAGTGTGATCAACAATTTTAATATTTGATTGAGTGATGAGCAATCCTGTCTTGTTGAAAAAGTGTGATTTTTGGAGTTCGTGGCAATATTAAGATTGAAATACTAATTTTATATTTTATGCTGTGAACAAATGGAGTTACCTTATATTTGTATAAAGTTTTCAAATTGAGAAGTCAGTTTGGTTGATATACAGTGTCAGTTTAAACGTTCAAGCCCGTCTCGAATATACTTAAACAGTAGGTTGAATGGACTGACGCCTGTCAGAAAACTACTCCCCTGGCTAATACCACGAAGGGCGTTGGATTATATCCGACAGGCGTCAGTGCAGGAATATTCACAGAAAATTTCCTGCATATGCAATTGGCAATACAACTGAAAGAGTCGACCTTCAATTTTGGAACGGGCACACTTGCAGACCGGTTTCGGGCTCATTAGCCACTCATCAGTGCAAGATAGTGGCCATCATCGATCTAAAGTCAATGATATTCCATAATTGAAAATCGGAATTCTTTCAGAGTATTTCATTCCTCTTCCTAAGTTGGAGCGAACAACAAAATGTCACTCAATCTAGTGGACGAGGTACTAACCAACTGTGAAGATTCCTGCACTGACGCCTGTCGGATATAATCCAACGCCCTTCGTGGTATTAGCCAGGGGAGTAGTT